ACTTGGTAGGCTGATTCAGGAGGATCCCTGAATCAGGGAGAATGGCAAAACATATGAAATCAAATAGACTAGAATTAATTTCATGGTTGCATTTTCCCAAGATGACATGCGATGGGATTTTCCAAAATGTTTATTAGTATTTCCCCAATATCATATTTATCAGAATATCAGTTTTATGAAAAAATAACTCTTGTTAAATAAGTTTAGGACTTCCTGCATACTATGTATCACCACCTCTTGCAGATTCAAATGTATATATTGTATCAAAGGCTCTAGGAATGTGCATATCATAATAAATGCTATAGGACGTCATATGATAAAGAAAGCACTCAAACTTTAACTTGGCATTTGTCAGTTGTATTTGACCAAGAACTCTTTTACCCCACACAACTTGTATTAACACCCTGTAGGATGTTTGGGAAGTGTCACTTTATAACACAATAAGGATCTTTATTACAAGATCCTTAGGTAGATATAAATCTGGGAAGAATAGAGAAATGGGTTTACAATGATCAAACATTTCTTAATTCAGTATGTCATTTCTCAAGTATTCTCTTCATTCCAAGACCAAGAAAAAGAAGAACTGAATCCTTTTTTGGAAAATGACTTTAGACTCCTCCACATGTAAACTTACTTATATATTTTTAAAATATATAATAGCTATTAACAGATAATACACATACCAGATACGTGTATTCTTTTCCTCCACTTTACTGAAAAATGTAATGACGTGCAGAGGAGTATATTTTTCAAGCATATATTGTCAATATTCTTTGTGAAGTCATGATGAAAATATAACCAAATTTCCAACTTACAAGTTAAAAGACAATAACCTGGCCTCTGAGGTATGTATAATAATACAACCTCAAAGGTATATTTTAGAAATAAACAGATGTTTTGGGTTTTTAAGAAATAAAAAAACCAAAGCACCAAACCTTAGTTAGATAGGTACTGATATCTAGATCACACAAATTGTCTAGAAATAAAGCAGACTTGTTTAACATGAGTAATAAAATTTTCTCATTGAATTAACTTGTCAGATGCTATGTTTCAAAGAACATTTGCTCCTAGATATCATATTAAGTGTAGAATAAACTGGAAAGGGAAAAAAGTCTAATTTACATTTAAGTTATGAGGCCTGATATAATGTCAACTAAAGACCTGAGGGGGCAAATACTTAGTAAAACATCCAACTATATTCTTCCTTTGTTTACAGAATAGATGTGTCCTTGATTAAAAAAAAGGTCAATTTCTATAAATTGCATCTTATATACCCAATGACATCTCTAGTAAAACTGAAGATACATTCCCATGTAAGCAATTCTCTCTCAAAAGAAGTTAAACATTTAAAAAACAAAACTGTGGCCGGGCGCGGTGGCTCAC